TGCTGGGACACACCCACCCACCCACCTGCCTGCTGACACACACCACCCACCTGCCCGCCTGCTGACACCCACCCACCCACCCACACACCCACCTGCCTGGCTGACACACACACCCACCCACCCACCTGCCTGCTGACACCCACCTGCCTGCTGACACACACACACCCACCCGCCTGCTGACACACACACCCACCCACCCACCTGCCTGCTGACACACACACACACACCCACCCACCTGCCTGCCATACACACACACCCACCTGCCTGCTGACACCAATCTGCCCGCTGGACACACACACACCCACCCGCCCGCCACACCCACCCACCCACCTGCCCGCCGACACACCCACCCACCCACCCACACACACACCCACCCACCCGCCCGCCTGCTGGACACACACACCCACCCACCCACCTGCCTGCTGGAGGACACACACACACACCCACCCGCTGACACCCACCCACCCACCTGCCTGCTGACACACCCACCCACCTGCCTGCCACACACGCACCCACCAGCCTGCTGGACACCCACCCACCCACCCTGCTGCCTGCTGACACACACCCACCCACCCAAACTCTGCCTGCTGACACACACACCCACCCACCCTGCCCGCTGACACCCACCCCACCCGCCTGCTGCTGAGACACACCCACCCACCCACCTGCCTGCTGACACCCACCCAATCTGCTGACACCCACCCACCCACCCAGCTCCGGCTGACACACCCACCCACCCACCCGCCTGCTGACACACACACCCACCCACCCACCCGCCTGCTGGACACACACCCACCCACCTGCCTGCTGCTGACACCCACCCCACCCACCTGGCTGCCTGCTGCACACCCACCCACCTGCCTGACACCCACCCACCCACCCACCTTGCCCACCTGCTGACACCCACCCACCCACCTGCCTGCTGACACCCACCCACCCACCTGCCTGCTGAACACCCCACCACCCTGCCTGCTGGACACCACCCACCCACCTGCCTGCTGCTGGACACACCCACCCACACCCACCTGCCTTGCTGACACACACACACCCACCCACCTGCCTGCTGACACCCACCCACCCACCTGCCTGCTGACACACACCCACCCACCTGCCTGCTGACACACACCCACCCACCTGCCTGCTGACACACACACCCACCCACCTGCTGCTTCAAGAAGCGGACACACACACACACCCACCCACCTTGCCTGCCAAGGACACACACACCTGGCACCTGTTCCTGCCTGTTTGATACCTACCTGCACTCCACCTGCCTGTTGAGATTACACATTCACCACCTGCATGCACCACATTTTATACTGACAATATTTTAAGATTTTTTCGGATTACTTAGAGTAAGGTTAGGTTAGGTTTGAGGTTAGGCCCAATGTCAATTGTTAGATCAATTTTGATATAGCATCTGGTGTAGTCCCCGTCCTGACGCCAGGATACAGAGTTAAGTTGTGGTCATAACTGGTAATAAACCTCAGAGCGATAAGGAAAGAAAGATAATGTGACAGACGGGGATGCATAATATGTCATGGTCAGGAGAAACATATGTTGCTGAAATGAGTTTAGGTAAAGTTCGTCAAACTAACGTCAGAAATTTTGAGATACTGTGGTTGGGTTAGGCTGAGGTGGGCAGTCCATAATCGACCAAGGACACAACACCATCCTGAGTTTGCAGGTCGTGGGTTGAGAGTAATTTTAGGATGGTAAACTGTATGGGAAATGTCTGAAAAAGTGAATTAGATTTGTAAGTACAGTTAACGAAGGTTCGACTAAGGTGAAAAACTGTAAGATGTCACAAGGCTCACAAACCGTTATCTGTACACTGGAAATAGGTAACTGGGACAGAAACAGTTCAGGTGGAAAGAGGAGACTATGGTTTCGGTCGTAAGATTTATTCTCGTGAATATTATGTGTTGTGGTTTGTTGAGCCTTAGTTGTCCAGACCTTAGTTACTACGATGAGTGTTCTTCTACTCTGAAGATAACGGCACCTAAATTGTTAACTTAACTTTAAAACATTTCAATATCACTCCAACAATGGCACCAAAATTTCTATAAGACCAATTTAGGCATGTAGGTTTCATAGGCTCGGACTACTATGACTGAATGATAACCAAGTCTACAGTTTGCGAGGAGGCAGCGTGGCTGGGTGGCACCAGACCTCACTTTACTTCCCTAGTCGTATTAGGTACACATTCACAGCTGGGTGACCTGGGTGCCTTGGAGTGGAGCTGTATTTACTGGCAGCTGCAGGCCTACCTTAACTAGTTACGTTCGGTTTAAAGTATTTCCAATTATTCATCGAATTATGTATCACGCTATAGAGGCTTCATACTTTGACGCCACTGTTAGACGTTTTTATTTGTCTGAATCTCAGCATCCCTCTACAGTTGAGATGTTAACATGTAGTGTTGTGTAAGATTTCCTCAGTAATATATTATAGCCGACATGGCTCCGTACCAACGTAGTATTTTTTAGTGTTTAATCGGTACCTGTGTGGAGAGTTTAGCGATCCTACACCGAGGTGTTCAGGTCAGAGAGTATGTAACCCATATGTTATGACAGGTGGTAGGGCAACTAGATGTTTGGTCAACAATATAGTTATGTATAGTACACTGTGAGGTCTCTAAGATGCCATGACTCTTCGAGAAGATTATAATTGTATTTATTTATTCTTTATTTTTTAATCCACGGAGTCTTCTTTTAGCTCGTGAACAAGAGCAACATTCAGCGTTGGTGATGCTGGATCACACAATTGAGTAGATATACTGCAGTGATATACCCTTTCTGCGAGGTTGGATCTCGGTGGGGGGTCGTCGACGTCTCGAGCCTCTCAGTTTTTGCATGGGATCTTTTTCACCATTAGAACTAGTACACTTCCGTTATTTCATAGAACAAAAATTTGGTTTTAATGATTATCTCATTCGTCATGATTGATGAATTGAATTCTAGGCTGAATATAACACGTGGACTTTGTATTAGTGGTTGGAGTAAAAAATCACTGGTTGGCTCAGACAAGTTGAGAGTGTTGGTGAATGTTATCAAATTTATGTATAGTAGGCGGTGTTCTTCTGAAACACCGAGGATCGTTACCGTAATCTAACCATTCCATCCCATGATCACTTTGTAAATGAAATGAAAACAGCTTTGGTGCAGTCAAAGACTATGTGTGCATCTTCTAAATTCTTCCTGAAACAATTATCCTTGTCTCACACTGAAAAGTTGCTATAAAATAAAATGACCTACTTACCTTCCTACCCATTAATTGAGTTGAGGTAGGCTACTGAAATCTTGAATGTAGAAAGAAAATGCCGCTCATAAATCCATTATGTCTCAGATGTTGTGAAGAGATGCATTTCAATTCTCTATGAGCTACTGTGTATTGGTTCAGTAGATACTATGAGGCTGAACATTCTTCCTGTAGACTGGCAATTAAGAACTATCTGGAAAAAAGGACGACGTGGAAAGATTAACGGACTGACATTGTATATCTATTCACCCACATCGCACGGTAATGCACAGGAAACAGCACAAAGAAGTTCTGCAGGACTTGGTTGAAGCAGAAGACGGAGGAGTCAAGGAGGAATGGGGACTGATGTACATGGGTTATATTCAGAGGGAGGGTAGTGGAAGCAAGCGGCGACATTAGAAAGAGGAGAAAAGCACTTAACTAGGGTAAATAATTACGAAAAACAATGGAAAATCCAAAACAGTCTCCTGAAATTACAGTGATACTTATGCAAGGAAAACCCATCCATTAGTAACCAATAATGCCCAGATAGAATACAAAAAGCAGAGGCACCTCTCCTGCTGCATGTATCCACGACAGGAGTTGCTCCCATCATGTACACCAGAGGAAAAGCAAGAAGAGAGCTGAGAAAACTATACCGCTTTAAAGCGCTTCCTGAGAAAATAAACTCTGCCTGGTGACATCATTTATCACACCGATATTAACTTGCAGCAATACCTCTTCATACTATGAGCACCACTCAAATATTAAAATTACAGGTGGTTCAAAATGAAGCCCTAAGATTCGTCACAGGTGAAAGATACCCCTTCACCAGAACCACAGCCGAGAGGTATATAGAGACCTGAGAATGAAGCCATCAACCAGCAGCTGCACTTTGGCCAGCAGAATCTGGCAAAAGATAGAACGATCAGAGCAACTCTTACAAAGACTCCCACCAGATAACGACAACAACCATATATAGTTCCCAAAAAGTTACCAAATCTCAAAAGGTCCATTACCACCCCCGATATACACGGCCAGGCAATAAACAACCTCGAGACCAACATCCGCCAGTAGGGTCGGTGGAATATGAAATAAGGCCCTAAACACCCATATATGGGACAGGGTAGGATGTCTAGTGCCTGTGCCGACAGACAATAACTAACCCATGACACAACCCCAACACACTATTAGCTTAGCTAGGCGGTCAGCCTGCCCTCTCTTCCTCCTCCAAAGTCTCTTCACTTCTGAACTATAACTTCCTTCCCCACCTCTAATCGTCTTTAACCTCCTTTCTCGACAAAAAAAAACGCTCTACCCCCCCCGGGAGGTGCACCAGCCCGCCTACCAGACAGGAGGAGGCGAGCACTGTGTAAACAATGACATGTCTATCCACACTGCAAAATACAGTGTACTTGGCAAATGCTGCAGCTTCTGAGAATGTGGGGGAGGCGGGTTACTACTAAAAGCAGAGACGTTACCGAGAACAAATTCAGGCTTTGAATGTCATGTACACTAATACTAAGACGCTTTTGATAAAAGTGGAGTTTGAACACTACTGAAAGTACACCAACCAGATATTGTAGGAGTTGTAGAACTGTTGTACAAGAACAGGAGAATCGACCCAGAGGAATGCGAGTTCAGTATTGCTGGATATGAGTCATTTACGAACCTTTCTCAAGTAACTTGCAAGAGGGGTGTGGTTATCTATGCTAGGCAAGAACCCAGAGCCAGCCAGCCGCAGGGATCTATTTGACCAATTTAATCAAATTGGGCCCCGCGCCGCAAGGGGGCCCCGCACACACGTGTGTTAGTTTTAAACTGTATACGATATTGGTAAAAAAGCTAACGTTAGACACAAAATCATTGTTATTGTCATCAAAATAATAGATCCCAGTCACGTGCGAGAATTTTCTGTTTTGTCAAAAGTCCAAGGGAATTAACTCTGGTGTTGGTCCACACGCCCTGACTTTCATAATAATTTACAGGAGCGGGAAGGGTGCGAGCCAATCAGAACACAGTTTTCACTCTCTCCCAACGCTTGGACGGTGTAAGTGTGTCGGGTCTGTATTTTTGGCTGTTTTCAGGGGGAAATACGAGTGATAACGTTGTGCTGTGTATATCAGCATGTCCTGTAATAACCAGTGAATCAGTGATCATCGTCAGACAGTGACAAAACTCCGGTCGTTGCCATAGACATGATTTGAGATGAGTTTTGCAGTGTTGACCTTGAAAATGAGAAGCATGGCCACTGGGTGGCGACCGAGGCGTGGTTTGTTTATAATTTTTGTGCTGGACAGTGATGATAATTGTTGATCCTGAGTACATGATTGATAGCGACAATAGCGATGATGAATCAGAAAATGACTTGTGATTCTGAGCACATGCAAGCACATACTATAGCTCTATGTAGGTAACCGAATCTTTGCGTACGTAGCGGTGTGCTATCCATGCCAAAGTGTTATATGTCCGGTTAAAGCTTTTTTTGTCCGGTGAAGTGGTGATAAACATTGTGTGGTTTTTATTTTATAGGATCAGTGTTTCGATTTTTTGTTTTAATTATAGCATTCATATATGCACATACTTATTTTTTAAGTGCCAGGGACTTCTCATTGTGAATAATTTTGTTCGTTTTTTCATTTCAGTTTATTATATGTCATTTCTGAAAAGATAATATAAAAAGCCCTTTCATCATGGCAAGCACAAGCAGAGATAGAGGCAGAGGGCGTAAGTATTTAAATGGCAACCAGAAGCGAGCACTGGCAAAGGCAAAGGTGCTTGAAAATGAAAAACATCGAGGTGCTATCAAAAAATTTCTTGTCACTCCACCTTTGAAACGCCCATGTATTGAAGATGAAGAAGACAAAAACGATTCAGAAAATGACAATACAGCCATTAGTCCAATTACAGTTGATGAATACAATGAAGAAATTGATATTCAGTTTGAAAAAGTTCAAGTTGACACACAGACACAGTTGAATCAAACTGAAGACGATCTTAATACAACAGAAGACAGTGCCAAAGTGAGAAGTCCACTTATAGCTAAAGAAGAGTCAGAAGGCCAAGCCCAAACATCAAACAGTGATGGATCATCCACAAGTACAGTTGTAATTAACATTAATGATGACCCGGCAAGTTGGCCATCGAATATAAATAGAAATATAAGAGATTATTTAACAATGAAAGGGCCTCCTGATATTCCAGTGAACAAGTTTCCACGAAATGAAAAGGGATTGTGTTTTTCTAAGTTTCACTGTATTGACAAAGAACGTGAACTAACTATTAATAAACATGCAAAGTACTGGCAGCAAGTATTCAAAAGGCTAGTGGCAATAGTGCAGTTTCTTGCTGAGAGAAATCTAGCGTTAAGAGGGACAGAAGAAAAAGTTGGTAATGAGAGTGTACACAATGGAAACTTTTTAGGTTTAGTGGAGCTGTTTGCAAAGTTTGACTCTGTTCTTGAAGAACATTTACGTAAAGTCAAGGCCAACGAAATTCATAATCACTATTTAGGAAAAGATACTCAGAATGAACTACTAGACATTATGGCTACAGCTGTTTTGAATGAGATACTGAATCGCGTAAAAGCAGCTAAGTACTATGCCATAATTTTAGACTGCACACCTGACTTGAGCCACCAGGAGCAAATGTCTCTAACGATCAGGTATGTTTCTGATGGCAACTTGGCTCCTTCAGGTGTTTATGAACATTTCATACAGTTTATGCAGGTTGAAAGTAGCACAGGAGAAAATTTATATAAAACATTATTAAACACACTAGAGGAATTAAAATTGGATGTGAAAGACATTCGAGGCCAAGGTTATGACAACGGTAGCAATATGAAAGGTCACACATCGGGAGTACAAGCACGGCTGTTGCAGGATAATCCAAGAGCCTTCTTTGTACCCTGCGCATGTCACAATTATAACCTGTTACTAGGAGATGTAGCCAAGTGCTGTCCAGATGCTATAACATTTTTTGGGATCTTGCAAAGGATCTACATAATGTTCTCAGCATCAACAAAGAGGTGGGCAGTTTTTAAGAAACATGTACCTGGGTTATCAGTGAAACCCTTGAGCGACACAAGGTGGGAGTGTCGGATTGATAGTGTTAAAGCTATTCGTTATCAGGTTGGAGAAGTATATGATGCACTTGTGGAAACATCAGAGATAACAGATGAGCCCAAGGTAAAAGCAGAGACAGAAGGTTTAGCAAACCAGCTAAAAGACTATAAATTTTTAGTTTCTTTGATATTTTGGCATGATTTACTTTTTAAAGTTAACTATGTTAGCAAGGAACTACAAGGTAAAACAAAGGACATTGATGAAGGCATGGAGTCATTTGAAAAACTATTATCATGGCTAAGAAAATATAGAGAGAGTGGTTTTAATGATGTCCTAATAGGCGCAAATGATTTGGCTGAAGCTGTTGAATTACCACTAGAATTTAGGAAATTTCAAGATAAACGACTACAAAGAAGGAAGAGAATGTTTTCATATGAGGCAAAAGATCAAGCTTTCGATGATCCAAAAGAAGCATATAGAGTTCAGTGCTTTACCTTAGTGCTAGACAAAGCTATTCAATCTCTAGAATCTAGATTTATGCAGCTTAAAAGCCATATAAAATTATTTGGATTTTTAAATAACTTTCAGGGCTTACAAAAGGCAGAAATAAGGAAACACACAGTAGACCTTGAAGCAGCTTTAATTGACACCAAACTAAAACAGAACACTGATGTAGAGGTAGGTACTGTAACAAGTAAAGATGTAGATGGTTATCTGTTGGCTGAAGAACTTGAAGCTCTGAAAACTTTTCTGCCCACCAGTGTCGCCAAGCCCCAAGCCCTGTTTGAATACCTGGTAGTAAACAATCGATTCACTGCATTTCCTAATGTTTTTGTTGCTTTGAGAATTTACTTAACAATGCCCGTAACAGTCGCATCGGGTGAGAGAAGTTTTTCTAAACTAAAATTGATTAAAACATACTTACGGTCAACAATTTCACAAGAAAGACTAAACAATTTGGCGATGCTATCTATAGAAAGTGACATTACCAAAACCCTTGACTTTAAAATGATTTTGAAAGATTTTGCAAATAAAAAAGCCAGAAAAGTGTGTTTCTAAAAGGTCCGTGCATAAACAGTTTGTCTGTAATTGTCTTAACTTGTAATAAAAAATCAAAACTTTTATACTGTTTTTAAACTTTTAGTATATCAAGTAATTAATGCTTTTTGGCTAAGGCGGGCATACTACACGAAATATAAAACATCAAT